TCTTGTCGGAGTTCACTGACTTTCCTCACGATAAGGAATACAATGACAACCTGACTTTTTACTTAGTGTTGGCTCTGGCTGTGGTTTCCTTCCTCTTCATCACGTGTTTAGTGGTTATTATATCAGTGAAGATCTACAGATGGAGACAGTCTCGCATCCTGTATCACCCCCTCCCTGTGATTCCATATTATCCACCTCGTTACTCAGACACTTTGGGAACTGGGACTTTGCCACACGTATACAATTACGAGGTGTGCAGAACTACTGACTCCAGAAAGAGTGACATTAAGTTTGGCAGAGCTGGAAGTCAGAACGTGTTAATAATGGACCCCAGTTCTACAGGGACAATGCAGCGGATCCAGAATGAGAAGAACATCCTAGATGAACCCGACTCTCCTCTAGAGGTTAGAACGCTTTTTTGAGTTATAATAGTTATAATTTCTTCCCCTGTTATATAAGTGGCTTGATGTCTGAATTATGTATCTTTTCATAGTGTTAGTTTAAATTGCTTACCTCTACAACATTTTTTCTGGTCTCTGTTATGAACATCTGACTATAATAACATGCAACATTCATGCTAACTGAGTTCTCCAGTATGAAGCAAAACGTTTGGTATTATTGGAACGCCCTGCTGTACGTAGAATGAATAATATAACCAATGCACTGAACTTCAGCACCATGGACAGAAACACTAGCTAATTCACGGCCCATGGTTGAATTTTTACCTTGAGTTTTTAACAGTCTCTTCGACCTAAAGGTTTCTTCTCTTCGGTCATTTTCCATAAAAAAACGTTTCAAAATTTGCATTTTGAAATGGTTTATGTTACACACTGTAGACTTTAATTCGTCTTTTTGTTGTTTTTTTCCTTCTGGACTTTTCTTTTCTTCTGCTTGTTCTTAGATACAAGTTGGTGATACATGGTTGAACAAATTAAAATAACATTACTCCTCAAAAACATACAGTTTTCTACTCACATAGGTCAACGGTCCCCTCCTCTCGGTTTCCATTGAGCCAATTGGGAGTTAACATTGCTGACGTCTCTTTACAGCGCTCTCTCTTAAAGTGACAGTACAAGCATTTTTTTTTAAACATAACCAAGATCAACATTTTTGAGCTTTTTCTCAGGAGTTGTTGAAGTGCTAAACATATTATTATTATTTTTTTAATATATTTTATTATTATTATTATTATTATTATTATTATTATTATTATTATTATTATATTATTAATAATAATAATTATTATTAACAATAATAATATATTATAATATTATTATTCTACCATTTCTCATATATTAATAAAAAGATGTATCTTTATATGTATATATCGCTGTGGGCAATATAACATATAATATTGCCCACAGCCTTCTGGGGACATCCTTATTATTTATTTATTTATTTATTTATTTATTTATTTATTTATTTATTTATTTATTTTATGCTGTGCATGTCTTTTCAAGCTTTCGAACTAGACATGGAGATTATGTGTTACGCTCTGCAGTTTTATGATTTCGACTCTTAGGGCCGCTGTTGGCCAGATGCTGACGGATCAGGGCGTCTTTGTGGTTCCACCATCCTTACAAATTGTCATTTGACAGTTATGCTGCGGAAGGATTGCTGTAAAAGGACAAGCACGTACTTATTCTACCATTTTTTTGGTTCAGCAAATGAGTGAAAGCTTAATATAAACAATATTAGGCGTTAACCGAAGGCTGGACGTTGATCTTGGAGGGATTTTCTTTTTTCTACAAAAGACTACAAACGGGGAAAAACAGAACAATGAATCGGGCGGTCCTGTTTGTTATCTCTCTCTTTTCTCTGGACTCGGCGATCGGGCAGGCCAGCTACTCTATTCCTGAAGAATTGCCAAAGGGATCCTTGATTGGAAATGTCGTTCATGATTTAGGATTGGACACTAAACGTTTGGTATCCGGTAAAGCTGCGATTTTTAACAGAAACACCGCGGAGTTCGTTGAGCTCCACAGAGAAAGAGGAGTCCTGCTCGTCAAAGAGAGAATCGACAGAGAGGCGCTGTGTTCAGACACCACGGTTTGTGCTTTGGACTTTCAGGTTATTTTGGAGAATCCAATGGAGTTTTACACGGTTACCATCCAGGTGACAGACATTAATGATAATTCACCGACGTTCGAAAAGAGCGAGATGAAATTTAAAATTAGCGAGACTGCAATGAAAGGCGCAAAATTTGTGCTGGAAAGGGCGGTGGATCGTGACGTCGGAATCAATGATCTCCAGGATTACATACTAAAACCATCAGACCATTTTGCGTTGAATCTGCACAGTGACGCTAACGGCCGGCAACATGTCGAGATGGTTTTGGAAAAGCCCTTAGACAGAGAGAGAGAGCAGCAGATGAATCTAGTCTTAACAGCTGTTGACGGGGGAGAGCCACAGAGATCAGGAACGATGCTGATAGATGTTACAGTCTTAGACGCTAATGACAATGCTCCAGTTTTCTCACAAAAAACATACAGAGCCACTGTCACTGAAAACTCCCCGAAAGGAACAGTTGTTGCCATAGTTACGGCGTCCGACTATGATGAAGGTTCTAACGGTAAAATAAAATATTCAATCACAAACACGTTGGATGACGTCAGGAAAGTGTTTCAGATAAACGAGGAAACCGGACAAATTGTGTTAATTGAAAATATTGACTACGAAAATTCAAAGCACTTTCAAATAAATCTCCTTGCGAGCGATAATGGCGGACTGACTGATTCTTCTAAAGTGATTGTCGATGTGCAAGACATAAATGACAACAGACCAGAAATAAGGATAATGTCAAAATCAAATGTAATAGCTGAGGATGCAAAACCTGATACTGTTGTTACAATGATAAACATAGAAGATTTAGACTCTGAAAAAAACGGAGAGGTGAAATGCTTTGTTAAAGAAAGCGTGCCTTTCATTTTAAAATCATCAAGAAATAATTTCTACAGTTTAGTGACAGACAGCGAATTAGACAGAGAAAGCGCATCTGCGTATAACATAACAGTGACATGCTCTGATGAAGGAGTGCCCTCACTCTCCAGCAGCGTTACTCTGACCCTGCAGATCTCTGATGTGAATGACAACGAACCTGTATTTGAGAGAAGTTTTTATGAGGCCTACATTGTAGAAAACAACACACCAGGTGTCTCTATATTTACAGTAAAAGCTACAGATGCTGACTGGAATCAAAATGCGCGTGTTGCTTACATACTAGAAGAATCCTCTGTTAACGGAGTGCCAGTTTCCTCTTATGTGTCTGTCAGTGCTGATAGTGGAGTCATCCATGCAGTTCGATCTTTTGACTATGAGCAGATCAAAGATTTCCATTTCAGCGTCAAAGCGCAGGATGGAGGCTCTCCTCCGCTCAGCAGCAACGTGACTATAAAAATCCTGATCCAGGACCAGAACGATAATCCACCTCAGGTTCTGTATCCAGTCCAGACTGGTGGCTCCATGGTGGCTGAAATGGTGCCTCGTTCAGCAGATGTGGGCTACCTGGTGACTAAAGTGGTGGCTGTGGATGTGGACTCTGGACAGAATGCCTGGCTCTCCTATAAACTACAGAAAGCCACAGACAGAGCGCTGTTTGAAGTGGGCTTACAGAATGGAGAAATAAGAACTATCCGTCAGGTGACTGATAAAGATGCTGTGAAACAAAGACTGACTGTCATAGTGGAGGACAACGGGCAGCCCTCTCGTTCAGCTACAGTCATTGTTAACGTGGCGGTGGCGGACAGCTTCCCTGAAGTCTTGTCGGAGTTCACTGACTTTCCTCACGATAAGGAATACAATGACAACCTGACTTTTTACTTAGTGTTGGCTCTGGCTGTGGTTTCCTTCCTCTTCATCACGTGTTTAGTGGTTATTATATCAGTGAAGATCTACAGATGGAGACAGTCCCCATCCTGTATCACTCCAGCCTCCCTGTGATTCCATATTATCCACCTCGTTACTCAGACACTTTGGGAACAGGAACTCTGCCACATGTGTACAATTACGAGGTGTGCAGGACGACTGACTCCAGAAAGAGTGACTTTAAGCTCGCAGAAGCTGGTAGTCAAAACATGTTGATAATGGATCCCAGTTCCACAGGAACGATGCAGCGAATACAGAGTGAGAAAAACATCCTGGATGAACCCGACTCTCCTCTCGAGGTTAGAAATATATACATATATATGTTTTCACTTTTTCTGGTATCAAATGTTTATAATGCAATAACCGTAAGTTTCATAAAAACTTTACATTTTGCGCCTTGTGATGAAAGACTTGATGGATGTACGGTGTATTTGCGAATTGACTGTACGAATATGTAAAAAAAATAGAAAGAAATGAAAAACAGAATGAGATTTCAGATACTGGACAGAAATATTTTGGGTTACGGACCCCTTAGAAGTAAATTGTTTTCTAAATATGTGCTCAGTTTCCATATTCATTTTAGAAAATTAACTAACACTTTTATCAATCAGAATATTTTACTTCTTCGCGGCGCTATGTCACGCCAGGACCCTGGACAGGGACTTTTTTTTCTCACTTCGTCTCTACCTACGAACGACTTTCTCGTTCATAATTATATAATATCTATCCTTCTCAAAATGTTCCCAGTAAATGCATACACTAATGATATCCGTGCTGTTTCAGTTCACTAACTTCCCTGCTCCTCTCTTGAATTCCTAGTTATTTTTGAAACTAGGAAAGTCTGAAGGATTTTGATTTTAAAATTATTTTTTAACTTCAATGTGTGATTTTATTGTATTTCTGTGTCAATCAAGATCAATCAAGGTTATTTTTTTGTGCATTCATTTATTTATTTATGTATTTTAAGTTTTTAGTTTTATGCAGAAGCATTTGAAGTTGAACATCCTGATTCTGCTCTGCAGTTTTATTCTGGACTCTTAGCGCCGCTGTTGACTTCAAATTTATGGAGCAAGCATATGCGTGATTCTGCTGCAACTCCTTTGTAACATCGCCATAATGCAACGGGAGCTCGAAAAGAAAGCCTCCGAAAATTGCTGACAGGCGATTGTTGTTTTACCAAAGCTTTGCGTTTACGCGTTTTCCTTTCGGATTTCTCCGCCGTCAGTGTTTCATGAAGACACGGTAGGATTTGATGTTGGACGATTAATCCCGGTTTGTGTGGAAATAGAGACCTGGCTCCATTGGGAGAGAATCGGATCAAACAATGAAGCGGCGAGTGCTACTGACGTTTTTCTCGCTCTTTCTCATCAACTCCGCGATCGGACAAATAAGCTACTCTATTCCTGAGGAAATGCCAAAGGGGTCCCTGGTGGGAAATATCGCACATGACTTAGGTTTGAATACGAAACGTTTTGTATCAGGGAAAGCAAAGATTCATACCAGGAACAGTTTGGAGTACGTGGAGCTGAACAGAGAAAGAGGATTGCTCCTCGTGAAGGAAAAAATCGACAGAGAGGCGCTGTGCACGGAGGTTACGGTCTGTAGTCTGGACTTTCAGATTATCTTGGAGAATCCTATTGAATTTTACACCGTCACTGTCCAGATTACGGATATTAATGATAATGCTCCGACGTTTGAAAAAAGTGAGATGCATTTTAAAATTAGTGAATCTGCATCTCCAGGAGGAGAATTCGTGTTAGAAAGGGCGGTGGATCATGATGTGGGAATCAATGGAGTTCAGAAATACGATTTAAAACCAAGCGATAATTTTGCTTTGAAGCTGCACAATAATCCACGTGATAACAAAAATGTGGAGATGGTGTTACAGAAGCCTTTAGACAGAGAGACAGAGGCGGAGATAAATCTAATACTGACCGCTGTAGATGGAGGAGACCCACAGATGTCGGGAACGATGCTGATCGTAATAACAGTTTTAGACGCAAATGATAACGCCCCACGTTTTACACAGAAAACGTACAAAGCAGCAATTAATGAAAACTCACCCATAGGCACTGTTGTTGCTTCTGTTGCAGCGTCAGATGCAGATCAAGGCTCTTACGGAAAAATAACATATTCAATTACAAGTACGCAGGCAAATGTCAGAAAAATATTTCAGATTAATGAGCAAAACGGAGAAGTGTCTCTAATTGGAAATATTGACTTTGAAAAAAACAAATTATTTGAAATTATTATAAGAGCTTCAGATGATGGAGGACTTACTGATTCCTGTAAGCTAATTGTTGAAGTGGAAGATATAAACGACAATAAGCCTGAAATTAGTATAATGTCAAAATCAAATGTTATATCAGAGGATGCTGAAGTTAACACTGTTGTAACAGTGATAAATATAGAAGACATTGACTCTGGAGAAAATGGGAAAGTGAAATGCTTTATCACTGAAAATATGCCATTTGTTCTGAAATTGTCAACAAATAATATTTACAGTTTAGTGACAGACATCGAATTAGATAGAGAAACATATTCTGAGTATAATATCACAGTAATTTGCTCTGATGAAGGAGTTCCTTCACTCTCTAGCAGCATAACTTTCAGCTTACAGATCTCTGATGTAAATGACAACGCACCTGTCTTTGAGAGGAGTTCTTATGAGTCCTACATTGTAGAAAACAACACACCAGGTGTGTCTATATTTACAGTAAAAGCTACAGATGCTGACTGGAACCAGAATGCTCGTGTTTCTTACATACTGGAGGAATCCTCTGTTAACGGAGTGCCAGTTTCCTCATATGTATCTGTCAGTGCTGATAGTGGAGTCATCCATGCAGTTCGCTCTTTTGATTACGAACAGGTCAAAGATTTCCAGTTCCGCGTCAGAGGTCAAGATGGAGGCTCTCCTCCTCTCAGCAGCAACGTAACTGTGAAAATCCTAATCCAGGACCAGAATGATAATCCACCTCAGGTTCTGTACCCAGTCCAAACTGGTGGCTCCATGGTGGCTGAAATGGTTCCTCGTTCAGCAGATGTGGGCTACCTGGTGACTAAAGTGGTGGCTGTGGATGTGGACTCTGGACAGAATGCCTGGCTCTCCTATAAACTACAGAAAGCCACAGACAGAGCGCTGTTTGAAGTGGGCTTACAGAATGGAGAAATAAGAACTATCCGTCAGGTGACTGATAAAGATGCTGTGAAACAAAGACTGACTGTCATAGTGGAGGACAACGGGCAGCCCTCTCGTTCAGCTACAGTCATTGTTAACGTGGCGGTGGCGGACAGCTTCCCTGAAGTCTTGTCGGAGTTCACTGACTTTCCTCACGATAAGGAATACAATGACAGCCTGACTTTTTACTTAGTGTTGGCTCTGGCTGTGGTTTCCTTCCTCTTCATCACGTTTAGTGGTTATTATATCAGTGAAGATCTACAGATGGAGACAGTCTCGCATCCTGTATCACTCCAGCCTCCCTGTGATTCCATATTATCCACCTCGTTACTCAGACACTTTGGGAACAGGAACTCTGCCACACGTGTACAATTACGAGGTGTGCAGGACGACTGACTCAAGAAAGAGTGACTGTAAATTCGGAAGAGCTGGTAGCCAGAATGTGTTGATAATGGATCCCAGTTCCACAGGAACGATGCAGCGGATACAGAGTGAGAAAAACATCCTGGATGAACCCGACTCTCCTCTAGAGGTTAGAAAGATTTTTTTTTTTTACACTTTTTTCTGCTATCAAGTCTTTATAATGCAATTTCCCAAAGTTTAATTAAAAAAACTTTACATATTGCGCGTTGTGATGAAAGACTTGAAGGATATACGGTGTATTTGTGATTTGACTGTATGAATGTGTAAAAGAAAATAGAAAGCCATGAAAAACAGAATGAGATTTCAGATACTGGACAGAAGTATTTTGTGTTATGGACCCCTTAGAAGTAAATTGTTTTCTAAATATGTGCTCAGTTTCAATATTCATTTTAGAAAATTAACTAACACTTTTATCAATCAGAATATTTTACTTCTTCGCGGCGCTATTTCACGCCAGGACCCTGGACAGGGACTTTTTTTTCACTTCGTCTCTACCTACCAACAACTTCCTTGTTCATAATTATATAATATCTGTCCTTCTCAAAAATGTTCCCAGTAAATGTATAAACTAATGATCTCCATCCTGTTTCAGTTCACTAACTTCCCTGCTCCTCTCTTGAATTCCTAGTTATTTTTGAAACAAGCGAATGCATAAATATTTTGACTTTAATGTCTGAAGGATTTTGATTTTAAAATTATTTTTGACTTCAATGTGTAATTTTATTGTATTTATGTGTCAATCAAGATCAATCAAGCTTAATTTTTTGTGCATTTATTTATTTGTTTTTCCTTTTTTTTTTTTGTTTTTTAGTTTTTAGTTTTATGCAGAAACATTAAAAGCTCAACATCCTGATTCTGCTCTGCAGTTTTATTCTGTGGACTCTTAGCGCCGCTGTTGACTTCAAATTTATGGAGCAAGCATATGCGTGATTCTGCTGCAACTCCTTTGTAACATCGCCATAATGCAACGGGAGCTCGAAAAGAAAGCCTCCGAAAATTGCTGACAGGCGATTGTTGTTTACCAAGCTTTGCGTTTACGCGTTTTCCTTTCGGATTTCTCCGCCGTCAGTGTTTCATGAAGACACGGTAGGATTTGATGTTGGACGATTAATCCCGGTTTGTGTGGAAATAGAGACCTGGCTCCATTGGGAGAGAATCGGATCAAACAATGAAGCGGCGAGTGCTACTGACGTTTTTCTCGCTCTTTCTCATCAACTCCGCGATCGGACAAATAAGCTACTCTATTCCTGAGGAAATGCCAAAGGGGTCCCTGGTGGGAAATATCGCACATGACTTAGGTTTGAATACGAAACGTTTTGTATCAGGGAAAGCAAAGATTCATACCAGGAACAGTTTGGAGTACGTGGAGCTGAACAGAGAAAGAGGATTGCTCCTCGTGAAGGAAAAAATCGACAGAGAGGCGCTGTGCACGGAGGTTACGGTCTGTAGTCTGGACTTTCAGATTATCTTGGAGAATCCTATTGAATTTTACACCGTCACTGTCCAGATTACGGATATTAATGATAATGCTCCGACGTTTGAAAAAAGCGAGAAGCATTTTAAAATAAGTGAATCAGCATCACCAGGAGTAAAATTCGTGTTAGAAAGGGCGGTGGATCATGATGTTGGAATCAATGGAGTTCAAAAATACGATTTAAAACCAAGCCATAATTTTGCTTTGAAGCTGCACAATAATCCACGTGATAACAAAAATGTGGAGATGGTGTTACAGAAGCCTTTAGACAGAGAGACAGAGGCGGAGATAAATCTAATACTGACCGCTGTAGATGGAGGAGACCCACAGATGTCGGGAACGATGCTGATCATAATAACAGTTTTAGACGCAAATGATAACGCCCCACGTTTTACACAGCAAGAGTACAAGGCAGCACTTCATGAAAACTCACCCATAGGCACTGTTGTTGCTTCTGTTGCAGCGTCAGATGCAGATCAAGGCTCTTACGGAAAAATAACATATTCAATCACGAGTACGCAGGCAAATGTCAGAAAAATATTTCAGATTAATGAGCAAAACGGAGAAGTGTCTCTAATTGGAAATATTGACTTTGAAAAAAACAAATTATTTGAAATTATTATAAGAGCTTCAGATGATGGAGGACTTACTGATTCCTGTAAGCTAATTGTTGAAGTGGAAGATATAAACGACAATAAGCCTGAAATTAGTATTATGTCAAAATCAAATGTTATATCAGAGGATGCTGGAGTTAACACTGTTGTAACAGTGATAAATATAGAAGACATTGACTCTGGAGAAAATGGGAAAGTGAAATGCTTTATCACTGAAAATATGCCATTTGTTCTGAAAATGTCAACAAATAATTTTACAGTTTAGTGACAGACATCAAATTAGATAGAGAAACATATTCTGAGTATAATATCACAGTAATTTGCTCTGATGAAGGAGTTCCTTCACTCTCTAGCAGCATAACTTTCAGCTTACAGATCTCTGATGTAAATGACAACGCACCTGTATTTGAGAGGAGCTGTTATGAGGCCTACATTGTAGAAAACAACACACCAGGTGTCTCTATATTTACATTTAAAGCTACAGATGCTGACTGGAACCAGAATGCTCGTGTTTCTTACATACTGGAGGAATCCTCTGTTAACGGAGTGCCAGTTTCCTCATATGTATCTGTCAGTGCTGATAGTGGAGTCATCCATGCAATTCGCTCTTTTGACTATGAGCAGATCAAAGATTTTCAGTTCCGCGTCAGAGGTCAAGATGGAGGCTCTCCTCCTCTCAGCAGCAATGTTACTGTGAAAATCCTGATCCAGGATCAGAACGATAATCCACCTCAGGTTCTGTATCCAATCCAGACTGGTGGCTCCATGGTGGCTGAAATGGTTCCTCGTTCAGCAGATGTGGGCTACCTGGTGACTAAAGTGGTGGCTGTGGATGTGGACTCTGGACAGAATGCCTGGCTCTCCTATAAACTACAGAAAGCCACAGACAGAGCGCTGTTTGAAGTGGGCTTACAGAATGGAGAAATAAGAACTATCCGTCAGGTGACTGATAAAGATGCTGTGAAACAAAGACTGACTGTCATAGTGGAGGACAACGGGCAGCCCTCTCGTTCAGCTACAGTCATTGTTAACGTGGCGGTGGCGGACAGCTTCCCTGAAGTCTTGTCGGAGTTCAGTGAATTTCCACATGATAAGGAATACAATGACAACCTGACTTTTTACTTAGTGTTGGCTCTGGCTGTGGTTTCCTTCCTCTTCATCACGTGTTTAGTGGTTATTATATCTGTGAAGATCTACAGATGGAGACAGTCCCGCATCCTGTATCACTCCAGCCTCCCTGTGATTCCATATTATCCGCCTCGTTACTCAGACACTTTGGGAACAGGAACTTTGCCACATGTATACAATTACGAGGTGTGCAGGACTGACTCCAGAAAGAGTGACATTAAGCTCGCAGGAGCTGGTAGTCAAAACATGTTGATAATGGATCCCAGTTCCACAGGAACGATGCAGCGGATACAGAGTGAGAAAAACATCCTGGATGAACCCGACTCTCCTCTCGAGGTTAGAAATATATACTAATATATGTTTTCACTTTTTCTGGTATCAAATGTTTATAATGCAATAACCGTAAGTTTCATAAAAACTTTACATATTGCGCCTTGTGATGAAAGACTTGATGGATGTACGGTGTATTTGCGAATTGACTGTACGAATATGTAAAAAAAATAGAAAGAATGAAAAACAGAATGAGATTTCAGATACTGGACAGAATATTTTGGGTTACGGACCCCTTAGAAGTAAATTGTTTTCTAAATATGTGCTCAGTTTCCATATTCATTTTAGAAAATTAACTAACACTTTTATCAATCAGAATATTTTACTTCTTCGCGGCGCTATTTCACGCCAGGACCCTGGACAGGGACTTTTTTTTTCTCACTTCGTCTCTACCTACGAACGACTTTCTCGTTCATAATTATATAATATCTATCCTTCTCAAAATGTTCCCAGTAAATGCATACACTAATGATATCCGTGCTGTTTCAGTTCACTAACTTCCCTGCTCCTCTCTTGAATTCCTAGTTATTTTTGAAACTAGGAAAGTCTGAAGGATTTTGATTTTAAAATTATTTTTTAACTTCAATGTGTGATTTTATTGTATTTCTGTGTCAATCAAGATCAATCAAGGTTATTTTTTGTGCATTCATTTATTTATTTATGTATTTTAAGTTTTTAGTTTTATGCAGAAGCATTTGAAGTTGAACATCCTGATTCTGCTCTGCAGTTTTATTCTGTGGACTCTTAGCGCCGCTGTTGACTTCAAATTTATGGAGCAAGCATATGCGTGATTCTGCTGCAACTCCTTTGTAACATCGCCATAATGCAACGGGAGCTCGAAAAGAAAGCCTCCGAAAATTGCTGACGGGCGATTGTTGTTTACCAAAGCTTTGCGTTTACGCGTTTTCCTTTCGGATTTCTCCGCCGTCAGTGTTTCATGAAGACACGGTAGGATTTGATGTTGGACGATTAATCCCGGTTTGTGTGGAAATAGAGACCTGGCTCCATTGAGAGAGAATCGGATCAAACAATGAAGCGGCGAGTGCTACTGACGTTTTTCTCGCTCTTTCTCATCAACTCGGCGATCGGACAAATAAGCTACTCTATTCCCGAGGAAATGCCAAAGGGGTCCCTGGTGGGAAATATCGCACATGACTTAGGTTTGAATACGAAAACGTTTTGTATCAGGGAAAGCAAAGATTCATACCAGGAACAGTTTGGAGTACGTGGAGCTGAACAGAGAAAGAGGATTGCTCCTCGTGAAGGAAAAAATCGACAGAGAGGCGCTGTGCACGGAGGTTACGGTCTGTAGTCTGGACTTTCAGATAATCTTGGAGAATCCTATTGAATTTTACACCGTTACTGTCCAGATTACGGATATTAATGATAATGCTCCGACGTTTGAAAAAAGTGAGATGCATTTTAAAATTAGTGAATCAGCATCACCTGGAGTAAAATTCGTGTTAGAAAGGGCGGTGGATCATGATGTGGGAATCAATGGAGTTCAGAAATACGATTTAAAACCAAGCGACAATTTTGCTTTGAAGCTGCACAATAATCCACGTGATAACAAAAATGTGGAGATGGTGTTACAGAAGCCTTTAGACAGAGAGACAGAGGAGGAGGATAAATCTAATACTGACCGCTGTAGATGGAGGAGACCCACAGATGTCGGGAACAATGCTGATCATAATAACAGTTTTAGATGTTAATGATAACGCCCCACGTTTTACACAGCAAGAGTACAAGGCAGCACTTAATGAAAACTCACCGTAGGCACTGTTGTTGCTTCTGTTGCAGCGTCAGATGCAGATCAAGGCTCTAACGGAAAAATAACATATTCAATTACAAGTACGCAGGCAAATGTCAGAAAAATATTTCAGATTAACGAGCAAACAGGAGAGGTGTCTCTAATTGGAAATATTGACTTCGAAAAAAACAAGTTATTTGAAATTATTATAAGAGCTTCAGATGATGGAGGACTTACTGATTCATGTAAGCTAATTGTTGAAGTGGAAGATATAAACGACAATAAGCCTGAAATTAGTATAATGTCAAAGTCAAATGTTATATCAGAGGATGCTGGAGTTAACACTGTTGTAACAGTGATAAATATAGAAGACATTGACTCTGGAGAAAATGGGAAAGTGAAATGCTTTATCACTGAAAATATGCCATTTGTTCTGAAAATGTCAACAAATAATATTTACAGTTTAGTGACAGACATCGAATTAGATAGAGAAACATATTCTGAGTATAATATCACAGTAATTTGCTCTGATGAAGGAGTTCCTTCACTCTCTAGCAGCATAACTTTCAGCTTACAGATCTCTGATGTAAATGACAACGCACCTGTCTTTGAGAGGAGTTCTTATGAGTCCTACATTGTAGAAAACAACACACCTGGTGTGTCTATATTTACAGTAAAAGCTACAGATGCTGACTGGAACCAGAATGCTCGTGTTTCTTACATACTGGAGGAATCCTCTGTTAACGGAGTGCAAGTTTCCTCATATGTATCTGTGAGTGCTGATAGTGGAGTCATCCATGCAGTTCGCTCTTTTGACTATGAGCAGATCAAAGATTTTCAGTTCCACGTCAGAGCTCAAGATGGAGGCTCTCCTCCTCTCAGCAGCAATGTGTGAAGCTGATAATCCAGGACCAGAACGATAATCCACCTCAGGTTTTGTATCCAGTCCAGACTGGTGGCTCCATGGTGGCTGAAATGGTTCCTCGTTCAGCAGATGTGGGCTACCTGGTGACTAAAGTGGTGGCTGTGGATGTGGACTCTGGACAGAATGCCTGGCTCTCCTATAAAATACAGAATGCGACAGACAGAGCGCTGTTTGAAGTGGGCTTACACAATGGAGAAATAAGAACTATCCGTCAGGTGACTGATAAAGATGCTGTGAAACAAAGACTGACTGTCATAGTGGAGGACAACGGGCAGCCCTCTCGTTCAGCTACAGTCATTGTTAACGTGGCGGTGGCGGACAGCTTCCCTGTAGTCTTGTCGGAGTTCACTGATTTTCCTCACGATAAGGAATACAATGACAACCTGACATTTTACTTAGTGTTGGCTCTGGCTGTGGTTTCCTTCCTCTTCATCACGTGTTTAGTGGTTTTATATCAGTGAAGATCTACAGATGGAGACAGTCCCGCATCCTGTATCACTCCAGCCTCCCTGTGATTCCATATTATCCACCTCGTTACTCAGACACTTTGGGAACAGGAACTCTGCCACACGTGTACAATTACGAGGTGTGCAGGACGACTGACTCCAGAAAGAGTGACATGAAGTACGGAGGAGCTGGTAGTCAAAACATGTTGATAATGGATCCCAGTTCCACAGGAACAATGCAGCAAATACAGAATGAGAAGAACATCCTGGATGAACCCGACTCTCCTCTAGAGGTCAGAATGCTTTGATTTATTTGGGCCTTGTTATGCATTTTAGCCCTACAATATATTTCAATCATATATGCTCTGATCTTTTTTTGCACTTTTTCTAGTCCAGAGGACCCCAAAGATTATTACTATATATTCATTCGAGTTTAGTTTTTATTATCACTCACTTATATTTTCTGGTATGGTTGTGTATGGTGCCTCATATTTTGCTTTATTGCAGTAAATTTCTCTTTAGTTCGACTAATATTTTTGTAACAGTGTTTTAGCGACACCTGTATTGATCCATTTATGCCTGGAAAATGCGGTAGACAGGCAGGTAGGCAGAGAAACAGACAGACAGGTTGGATTTGAATATTTCTTATTCTTGCAATCAATTGTTTATTCTTTTTTGTAATTCACAACTTGTTTGTATGACAATCACAGAGAGCAACAGTTGAAGTAAACACTGTAACCCCATTATTTAATTTGTTTCCAATTTCCTATAATA